AAATGTTTTCCGAGTATTTCGATAACCAGTGACCAGATTCAAACGAAAAAACCGCCAAAATGATCGCCTCAATAAGGCGAATCTGATGAGCTATAGAACGTTCGATTTGGATCATTAATCGTCGATATATTTATATATTTACGTTTATTTAAAGGGCTCGAAAATAAGCAACCCTCCACCTCAAAAATGATGACGTGGGGGTTTTGCTTATTATCGGGACTTTACGGTAATTTTAAAATTTGTTATATATAATAGTATTAACATTGCTAAGTTAACTAAGCAAACTAGCTCATGAATATAAATTATATTAACTGGCTATGAGATTTCAAGATAGCTTGAAATACTAATTACTATTATAATTTTGCTTTAATATTTTTAACTAATATATTCAGAATTACAAATCATGTAATAAAACAACTCGTTTGCATTAATATAAGGAATTGTGAAGGTTACATAACTATTACTGAAATTTGATACAATTATAGTTCTTACTCTAAAAATGTTTATATGCTTGTTCAAATATTTGCAATAAAATAGTGATAATGTTCTTTTTCTTTGAGATATAGTTCTATATAGTTCTTAATATAGCAGATATCGTCTTTTCATAATTTTTGAACTCTAGAAGACGTGGATCATTTATTAAAGATTAGTCATTATTATATTTATAGCTTTGAATATTCGTTAAATTTTTTTCATTCTTACCTTCCAGTTCATCAAATCCCCTATTGGTCTTCGTTATATTCTTGACTTGCTTTACCATATAATACGGATAACAGATAATTTTAAAATAAGGAGAATAGGTTAGCAATTTACAACTCAGTTTAGGTCCATCTTTGTTCTATCGACAAGAAAAGATCACGATTATATAAAAATTGCCTTGACGTTTTTTTATGTTTTGGTTACTGGGAAATCAATGAATCAAAACGGAAGTTTAAAGTTTAAAATTTTTGCAAATCACAGATGAATCAAGAATGAGGAATTTTGCATTTTTGAGACCTTTATCGTTATTAATTAAAAATTCAGTCAGATGTACAATGTACATATGGTTGAAAAGTCTATTTTGTCAACAATACCAACTATATATGGATAGGATCATCGGCCAATCATAAACAAATATTTTCTATCGGCCAAGAAATTCCGATTAATGTACGTTATTCTAGTCTAAATAGAACATTAATTCGTGGATGGAATTCGAGAATAGTAGAAATTCAAGTAACACGCATTTTCCATTTTTTTAATGTTGCGCGCCACTTTCTATTGACTATATTGGTAAAATAACATACATTCACGCCCCCTTTGACTCTTACACAGTATATATTTTGTCCTTTTTTTCAACACCACTTCTTACTTTCTATTTTTATTATTTTATTTTTATCATATAGAAATTTTTTGTTATTTTTTCTCTTCCTATTACTCTCTTGGTCGTTTTTAGCTTTTTATTTATAGGTACTTTATATATCTGCTTATCCTATCCTTAGTTCCAGTTCTTTACTCATCTTATATTCTTTGCGTCATCCTCTTTCATCTTAAATTTTTCACTTTTCTAGTGTAAAAATTTTAGCTTTCTTCATATAAACTTTAAATTTAACATGTAGGTTTCATTTTTGGTTATTTATACTCACAAATCTTGACAATTTTATTTTATTCGTTATTCTATGAGTTACATTTGACTAAATCACGAATAACTTAAATTTCTCTTTGTAGAATGACTGAAATTCGCCGAAAGCTTGTTATCGTAGGAGACGGTGCCTGTGGCAAAACATGTCTTTTGATTGTATTTTCTAAGGGCACTTTCCCTGAGGTATTGTTATTTTCTGCGGAATCATTATACTTATCACGTGCCCGTATTTTTTTGCTTTTTTTGGAACTTCTTAAAACCACATTGCGTAAATTGATTTATTATTCTTATATTTGTATTTTTTATGTGAAATGCTTTGTTAGTTGTTAAATATTCATTAATTCGTTCTTTTTAATAATATCTTTATTCAAGTTAGCATATTTTTGTCGTGCTTATTAAACATTCTAATTTTTTTAATTTTTAAACTATACCAAAAAGGTTTACGTCCCCACCGTATTCGAAAATTACGTTGCTGATGTCGAAGTAGACGGTAAACATGTTGAGTTGGCCTTGTGGGATACAGCTGGTCAAGAAGATTATGACCGTCTTCGTCCCCTTTCTTATCCCGATTCTCATGTCATTTTGATTTGTTTCGCGGTTGATTCACCCGATTCTTTGGATAACGTGCAAGAAAAGGTGTTTAATCCTCATTTTAATATACCAATTTTTAAATTAATATTAATTATTATTCCTCTCTGTCTAATTAGTGGATTTCAGAAGTAATGCATTTTTGTCAAGGGCTCCCTGTAATTTTAGTCGGATGCAAAAAAGATTTGAGATTTGATCCGAAAACTATTGAGGAACTGCGTAAGACAAGTCAAAAACCAGTTACACCCGAAGAGGTAATTTTTCCTCGGAATTGATGATCTTTCACTCAATATCTGACATAAATAATATTTATCTTTTCTCTTGTAGGGTATGGCTGTCGCCCACAAAATTGGAGCCTACAAGTATTTAGAATGTTCAGCTAAAACTGGCGAAGGTGTTCGTGAAGTGTTCGAGCATGCCACGCGAGCAGCTCTTATAGCTAAACCGAAAACCAGAAAACCAAAAGGTTGCACACTTTTGTAGATTGATTCTCCGACCTTCATTCACGACCATACGTTATCATCAGCGTCAAATTCTTGACTTATATATCTATTATATTTATTATTATTGTTATTATTATTCTCTCGCAAAGATAGATGATTGGAATCATCAAAGTTCCTTTTTATATTATCATCTTTCTATATTTATACCTTGTCAATCATCTTACTACTTACTAAATATTACTCCATTACTACTCACGATTTCACTACAAACTCAAGGATTTAAGTATGTACAGATTCCAAATCTGGTTTTTTATATTTTTATTTATACAACTCAGATTGGTGGTTTTTTGTGCTCGAGATTAATTAATTTGAATCAAAAAAGATAATATATATTTACTCTGCCTCTCCAAGACAAATTTTGGTGATCGAAATTTTTGTGGCATAATAAAGACAATGGTAACAGAGTATATGTAATTGTCAAGTGATCTCTTGATATGTACATATGAGCGCTGCGAATAATATCGAAATAATTGTTTTTTTTAATAAAATCTTGAAATTATAATTTGATTTTGTAACAAATATTTTTTACTTTTATATTGGGATAATAATTTATAATTTTATATAAAAGAATCATCTTAATAATAAAATTATCATAAAATCTTTTTCTAATTGAAATATAAAATTTGATTAAAATTCAATCAATTATAAAAGTAAAATAATATTTATTAATAAATTCAAAAACTTTTATATATAAAGAAAATATTATATTTTTTTATATATAAAAATTTAATAATAGATTATTTTTTTAATATTTAATAAAAATAATTTTAAATAAAAAAGCTATCACAATTATCAAATCTATTTTTGAAAAAATAATCTATAAATATAAATATTCTAAAGAATTATAGTCTGATCAAGAAACTGAATTTATAGTTCAAGTAATTAAAGAACTTATTTCTTAATTTAGAATTAAACACAAATTTTTATTATTATATTACTTATAAATTAATAGAATAATAGAATAATTTAATAAAATCTTATATAGAATACTTCAAAAATATTATATTGCATTAGATGAATAATGAAATGTATATATACTATTTACATACAGAATATTTCAAAATAATATTATCAAATATGAATTATTCTTCTTGATTACCTATCAATTTGAAATATTTATTACTAATGAAAGAAAATAAAAATGAGAAAGATAAAATATTAGACCAAATATTCTCTTTAATCTATTATTTATCAAATAATATTAATATAGTACAAAACTGAATTAAAAGATAGTAATAATAAATAAAAGAAAAATA